TGGTTGTTCCGGCACCTATACTACACTTTCGATTGTAATCCGGGAAATAGTACCACTTTTTTTTCGTAGCCACGTTATTATATACACTTTAGGGTCCATCAAAGTTGGTCATACTCTTCCCCGCGGGTAATATTCGCGTCGGCAACCGTATTTAGTATGTGCTGCTAAAATTCCAAGTACCATTTTACACAAATTTTATGCATATATAATCAAAATTTAAAAATACAATCTTGTCAACCAACCATGAAAAAAAATATAACGAAAAGCAGGGGCAACCAGTCCCAACTATTTCGCTTTCATTCAAGTGTAAACAAAATCATATACCATCCCAACTAACCCCGGTCCTTGTATTTGGAAAATAGAGGAAATAAAATATTATTATTCTATTATTGATATGAATTATCCTAGCCTTTTTTCCTCGGAAATGACGAATAAAAGTGTCAACATACATAAATGGAATTTCGTAGAGATTCGCCCTGAGGCTCCTATATCGGAAATTGTGAAAATTGATCAAAAATCTGAAGAACAATAAAGAGAAACAGTATATTTCTATCAGTATGAACTCAAAAACTTGTGCCCTTATATTCATGTAAATCGTATTCTCAGAAATTTTGTAGAAATTAATTAATGAATCCATTAAAGACAGTTATCAAGCCATGTAAACACCTAATGGAATTTGATTCCTTAGCAGTTATCATACCAGTACTCTGCTGGTGTGCTTGTTAATTAAATGAAACTATCAGGGGGAAAAACAGCCGTCATAATATAATATATATTCAAGAAGGAGCAAATACGTCATAAGAATATGGGAGAATATTGGAAAAAACAAGACCCACTGAAAGTGGAAAGCCTTGATTCATTGGACTAATAGGTCCTAATTATCGCTTCATACTAAAAATCAGGGGCAAGATAAACCGATCTTTAGCTGTACAATTGCCAGCTACATAGTTGAAGATCCAGTTTATGAATTACAACTTATCAGATTCGGCCAAGGGCTTTGAAGGGGAAAATTGGGGTACTGGCGGGAACAGAGCAAATTTGTCGTATTCACAGAAATACAACTTTGAAAAGGAACAATAAAGAGTTATATAACTGGGTCTTCAAACAAAAAGAAAAAAAAACACATCGATTTGGCTAAAAAAATCATGTGGGGAGCAATCTGTTGATTACCATTTGTTCCTCTTATGCGCACGATCACGTGCTCCCGGTTTGATGTACGTTCGAGCAAGACGCTCTTCCGTGATTCTCTCGTCCTCGCTATCGTTACTATCGTCCTCTTCTTCATCCTCGTCTTCGTCTGAAGCCGAACCAACCGATGGCAGGTCCTCGTTGCCCGACCTTTCGTTGTCTTCATCCGACAATGCGCCCGTATCAGCTGAAACAAGCTCTCTAGTATTCTACTTATCATTGGAACTCAGAAGTTTGCCAAGTACGAAAAGAAACAAAACGCGCTGTTAGTCGCTCTCTACAAAATAAGACGTCCTCCGTTTATTCGTCCGTAAAAACCTCCGTTTATTTGAACTTAGCAAGAAATTCAATGCTGGATACTTCAGATTTCCTCAAAACCTCTCGATATCTCCTGACGTCTCGTCAAACGAATTTTACTGTTTGGCCAATTTTCGTCTTTTTTTATTCCATCCAAAATTTCTGAATCTTTTCGGAAAAGATTTCAAGACAACTTCGCACAATTCCTCCTTTTCTTTGCCTATCTAAATGCTGTTGCAATATGTTAATTAAGACCAGAACTTGAAAGCAAAACGCACCGAACTCAACGCCTCCCTCATCCAGATCATCGCCGCCCTCGTTCAACTTAGCATTTTCCGGCAGTTGCCCGCATGCTTTCAAATTTCTCGCTTCATCGGGATTGTATTTCAGAATCACATCGGCCTGTAACAACACTCAGAAGCATTTTTTCACCGAACAAAGGAGTGGGACTTAAATCCAGTTATCTTGATAACTTCTTATTTGGGAGATCTAAACGGTACTACTTTCAGTGTTTTCATTAATTATCAAAATTCGATTGTGTTCCTCTTCACGCTGGTGGGCCAGCAACGCCAAACAAACTGCATATGTTAACACATAGAAGATTTCAGACCCTCCGCCTTCTTCCAATGTCCTGGCCAGGGATATTCACCGTTTGTATCTTTAAAATTTCTGTAGCACTTAAAAAAATATACCTTGTCATCCTGATAATCACGTAGGCCGATCAGTATGATATCACCGGTATTGATCCAGACTTTCTTGCGTAACTTTCCACGAATGTGACACATTCGTGGCTTGCCATCAAAGCAGTTCGCTTGCAGCCGACCGTTACCAAGCATTTTTATCACCTGTGCATATTCTACAACAAAAACTGATTCGATTCATGCTTTCTGGCGAACTAACTTTATTTCAACCTGCAGATCATGACTATTACGACCCTAAAAGTTAATATTCTAGACTAGTGGTGTACCCTGTGTGTGTGTGTGCGTGTGTGGAAGATACCTAGTCATATATACATAAGTACGTAAAATAATAAAAGGCAATACAAAAGAAGGTGGTGAGGTTCTGGGGAGCCAAACCTCCCCAGAAAAGGGATAAGAAGAACAGAACAGCTTCTCGTGAGGCTGTAACTAGCTGTAGAATTCCTGGGAAGGGAGGAGTGCTTTTATACCCCAGGGGTTAGAGATTACTAAGATAGCAAAACTTCAACGAGGACAGGGTGTCCAAAGTTTGAACCAGGGGCTGGGGTATTGCAGCATAGTGACGTAACTGTTCTTTACGCCATTTCTAGCAAAAAATCATAAATTATTATTTGATATATTATGTGACATGACTCCGCCAGTCACGGCTTATATGCTGGATCTAAAATCTCTCCCGACCTCATCCAGTAAGCATAAATTTTCCTGTGTACCTTAGCGTCAAAAAGCTACAAATTGCTACATCTGAAGAACAAAAACGTGAGAAACGTAATAACCTTGTCCGGGCTCCTTATAAATTAGTTCTCTCTTCATTATATCGTTCTCATTTTTACCGCGACGACGATTCTTACCACCTTTTCCCTTATTCTTCGGCATCGTTCCAAAAAGAAAAGCTGTGAGAAAACTGTGAAAAACACTGCAAAATGATGAGAACGCATTAGTGCATCATTATCCAGAAAATCGATTTTTGGCAAAATTACCAACAAACGATTCACACCAAGTGCCTTCGTCTTGGTGCCGCAAGAAATGAAATACGCGAAGGAGAACGGGAGGGGAGGGGGGAGGGAAGGATAGTCAAATAATTAAAACTATTCATGACTTTTTATAACGATAATAATCGTGACTCTTTATCAATTAAAAAGTAATCATGATTTTGATAAAACACAAAAATCATGATTCCATCGGCGGAATTCAAATAGTACATCGATTTCTGGCAAAATTACCAACAAACAATTCACACCAAGTGCCTCCGTCTCGTTGCCCCGGGGAATGAAATACGCAAAGAGAGGAGAGGGGGAGGGGGAGGGGAAGAATTATCTAATATTTAAAACTATCCATGACTCTTTATTACGATAATAATCGTGATTCTTTATCAGTCAAAAAGTAATCATGATTTTGATAAAGTATAAAAATCATGATTCTATCTGCGGAATTCGAATAGTATATCGATATCTGGCAAAATTACTACCAAACGAGTTGCATCAAGTGCTTCCGTCTCGGTGCCGCAAGAAATGAAATACGCGAAGAAAAAGGAGAGAGAGGGGAGGATAGTCCTATATTTAAAACTATTCATGACTCATTATTACGACAATAATCGTGACTCTTTATCAGTTAAAAAGTAATCATGATTTTGATAAAACATAAAAATCATGATTCTATCTGCAGAATTCAAACAGTACAAGGAAGTCTTCTGTTGTACTA